TGGTCAACTTGCCTAGTATCCACACCTTCAAACTGGCTTTGGATAAGAGGTGGTTAGAACTGTTTCCGAACGAGGAGTACTGAACAGGATGCGAACGTTAGGTTCATAATTTTTTTGTTTTGTGTGCAATATGGAACGCATTCACATTAAAGTCTCTCGCCGACGTGGCGAGAAGTAAGGTTTCTCTTTCTCTCCGTTTGCAGATAGGCGAAGAAACCGATCAATTGAACAGGTAGGCGCACACTCGTGAGCACACCACCTAAGGAATTCTGGACGCTTGGTTGGTCTGTGGTCACCACCAGTCCTGTGCAACCTGACCTGACCTAACCTGACCTGACCGACCTGAACTGAAGGTCAGAATAACGTCAGCGGCGGGCCTTGATATGATTGCTAGGCCCGCATTTATTAAACAGGATTCTCGGTTTACGTGTTAAAATGGATGGTGTTTCATTGGCCGAATCATTGTTGTATAAAGATTACGATGAACTTCAACGACTTATGAAGGTTACGAACTGTTTTCGAATACATTTACTGTTTTCAGGCTTGCACCATTGCTGAAACATACAATACAGAAAACGTTTTTATTGGGACGTCAAATAATGACAAATGCTCTTATCCGATTATTGAAAGTATGATATTTATTCACAGAGCAATCATAATTACTTTACAGCTGATCAGGAAATCGTTAAAGATTTGCTTTCATCAAGTTCTGGCGTTGTAAAGTAATTTTTCTGATTTGTGAATATATTCACATATCACCACGACTATAGTCGTGATGATATGATACCATATCACCGCGAATATTCTTCATAAACACAATATAACTAAACAGTTATATCATTGTTTTCCATAGCAAACATCAGGAACGCTCAGAATTCAGATCGCTTCTTGGAGAACCATCAACAAAAAGCATTGAAATGGGAAAAATTAACACAGGCCAAGGTTTCGCTGGAGAACATCCGCAAAACCAGAAAAATTCAGGGTAAGCTCGCTTTATAAAACATCACTACAAAGTCATGCAAGTCAATGTTATGAAACAGTGCACTCAATTATTTTGACGAAAGAAAATGACGGGTTATTACCGGTAAGACCAACACTAGTTTATCTAGTCGCAAATAACTTCAGACTTCTAAAAGTCAACGAGATACTCATATATATATGGATAGCTTCTGCACAAGCTCTGCGTCTACGGATTTGATCCCTCGTCATACAATGGTTTCTACTTTCAAGCTAAATGCAGGTAAAGTTGACCACTTGAATTCGAACAGAACGTAGCGCTCCCTATCCTAAATTCAACCGTCTGTTGTCCTGAAATTGGTATGTGTTCAAAGTTGACCAATGACATCGCGAAATAAATTGAAGGAGATGTAGGAGACTCACTCTCAAATATTTACTCTCCAAGGATAACTTCGAGCGACGTTATGCATAGCAATGCAATTCCTTGTAGGAGAACACCTAATGTTTCAGATGCAGTCATTGCCCAAAATGGTAAATCCAAATAAAGGTAATTAATACTTCAGGTCGTATGATTCCACCACATTCTAACTACGGCTACTCCGAAGAAAGCAATCACATTACATTCGCACCATTGAGTCATTTATTAGACGTAAGCTTATTCGAATTCCGAAGCATTCAACACCTTATAACAGAGTTCTTTACAAGCTCAATGCGCAAGGCAAATTAATACTTGCCATCACAAAACTATGATAGATCCAACAGAGTTTGTTCCTGCTGCTAATGCTGAAAAGAAGTCAAGCTGTTTGCATTTAAATAAACCAAATTTTGGACAAAGCGAAGCTAGAAATGAAGTTTCACGTGGGTCATTCTCAATTTCATCATATATGGATTTCAGATATCTGGTGTGAGAGGCAATTTTGCGAGAAGCCAGCAGCTTACAAGACGCATATACCGACCCTTATGTCCGGAGGTGCAGCAATAAACTCGTCATGTCTGTTACCCAAACCTTTAACAAGACTGGACTTTTCTTCAGATGGAATAAATAAACAGTGTCGTTTAGTAGCAAGCAGTTATCATCATTATTCCAGCATTTTACCGCATACAAGGGAAGCACAATGTAAAAAATTAGAAAGTAATGTTGTGTATAAATATTTGCATGATCCTTAAAGCCTGTCTTCCTATTGACGTCAGCGCTTCTCAAGGTGTGAACTCCAATTCACCTAATGAGAAGCACAATTCTTTGGAATCTTCAAAGCCACCCGATCCGATTTTAAAACAACTAACACCTCCCAAATATTTGGACAAGACCAGTCGCTCAGCTTCAGGGATAACTGTTGACAATCCTAGGTAAGGTTCAAAGTGAATAAGTCCTTTAGAAGTTTACAAAACTTGCACATTTTATTTGAGTTTTATTTTTATTAGTTAACTCTTTCGCTGACTGCATTTTTGTTTTTAACCCCGAATAACGTAGTGTTTATATGAACACTTAGCTCCAACTCCATTGTTTAGTTAAAGTATAAAACCTAAAGCAGTATCATAATAATGCCAGTGCCATGCTTGTGGCAATAAACAAAGGGGTATATAATAAATTATCTACTGAAGTGAATAATATAAAAACGGAATCTGACGACTGAGAACGATCAATTTGAATAAAACGTTTACTGTGGTGCTTCACGTAAGTCACAGTGTTGAGCACAACCTTCGTCACTTTGTGCATGGAACGTTTAAATGAAAATATCCATTTTGGATTTCAATAATACAGTCAATTAGCTTTTGACAAAATTTGAACTTTATTTTAGGCTTTACAGCTTTCTGCACTGGGGCTTATATCAAACTCTTCACTATAATTTGAGAAAAAGCTTCAGGTCACTTGTTTTATTGTACATTACAACGGATCTTGTAGTTTTGTTCTGCAATCTTGTCCCGCATATAGTCGTGGTAATAATTTATACGTTGAGGGTTATGTATGTACTGTCGGCACATAAGTGTTAACAAATGATTATTTTTACAATTGTATGATGTGAATACTGCTGTTCTTGAAACTCTCGTGAAGTGTTAATATTGCGTAATTTCAATAAAGGTATTTTATTTTGCTTTAAAAAGGATTAGTTGAGGTCGGTCACTGACCCAAATATCCCATCGATGCGGGTTGGGATGGTTTAGGCACAATCTGTTTATATCACTCTATGAGGATAAAAAAAATTTAACTGAATAAAATTATCCACTAAAGCAACTGTTTATCAGAAAATGTTTGAAATTCTGTGACTAAATGAAATGTTCACAAACTTCAGCCGCCTTTGGAAGCTCAATATTATCTCGGAATAAACTTGATTGTACTTACCAGGTTTATGATAGAGCATTATGAGTAAGTATGCTGAGTATCATAACTAAAGTGCCGCAAGATGCAACAGCCAACTATGAAAAAGTATTCGGTTAGTATGTATCTTATGTAAAAGTGGCACTGTTCTATTCTTAAATCATTTTCAACTTATTTCAAACTTATTTAAGAAATTGATTTCACTGCTTGCAACATAATTAGTTCGGCCTTATTTCCTCTCGAATAATCGTGAAACAATTGCATAATAATAACGCGTTGTTATCGTATTTAGCAGAATGCCACTAAGTTGATGACCTCAACTAGTGCATCCAGAGTTTACGAGATTGGAATCCATTTACCTATTTCATCAGCACTAAAAGAAAACAAACGTCCCGAGCTGTCAATATTTAGCGTAATCCCTGCAGTCGCTGGAGTAAGGTTGAACACAACTATATACATGGGTCGATTACATATCGTCAGTGAACGTTTACGTTTAATGTGACCATACTGAAATGTAAGTAAAGGATTATGTATGATAATTGGATTGACTGAGTCCACAGCTTTCGGTGTATGAAATCGAGTGGTATAATTTTATTTAAGACGCCTTAAGTTCATCAAGTATAGACTACGCACAGACCAACGCTGTGAATACGAAGCTTATTCTATCATGATGGTTATTAAACACACTTGACTTCATTATTAACTATTTCACACCTCCTTAAGCTTCTGTTGAACTCTCAAATGTTCTGGATAATATGATGGTATTCATACAGTATTTTATTATATTTCACACAGATCTGAGGCCAGACTGTGTGCTAAACAAATTGTTGTAGAATAATCCTTATGTAAAGAAAGAAAAGTTTCACAATTTGCATGTGGGCTGAATGGGGCCAGGTTTCCAAGACGAATGAAGTTTTGGGGGGAATTTACAGCCAGACTTTCCGTTACCCAAAGCCTGACCCAGAAGGTAGCCGGGCGATGTGTGAAAACCGCGATCCATTGGGTTCCGGTGTCTAATTCAACGGATCATACCCCCTTCGGACGGAGTCGAACTTCCAAGCGGCTCAATACACCTGGGTTCCCATTACACCATGATACCCCGTTGAGCCGGTGACCACTGCCACAACCATGGAGTTGTGGGTGGGTGGTTTGTACGCCTCCTCTTGTTTGCTTTTAGGAATGATTGAGTAATGGCATTGCCAGGTTCTTACTGTACAAATGTGACGACTGACATTTTCATTCTGGTAAACAATTAACATGAAAATCGTTTTTACTGCTTTTCAACCAGGCTTATCCAAAATCCTGTATCTCACAAAGTACGAAACAATAACTATTCAGCAGTTATAGATATTACGAGACAATTAAATGGGATACTATTTTGATCTGGCTAATAAACACCAACAGAGAGTGGTTAATACCCAATTTGCAGGTTTTTCCTTTATGGTTCACAACAGTTTACTTGTAAAAGTTCTATTTAACAGAACCAGAAAAGTTTTTTTGGATAAGTGTGTAGAAGATAAGTAATTTCTAGGGAAAACTTCACTTAATGATTGATAATCTGAAAAATTCATGGAAATTCACATTAGAAAATTCTGAAAAGGCAACCATCTTAGTGTCTTATCAAAACGGCTGTCTGCACCAAAATGTTTCCGAGGGTTATCATATTTCAAATTAAATGTTCCTAAAGCGAAGTCAGCTCAAGACCACTCACTTCTAGCAACTCATTTCAAGCTTATTGCATCCGATTGTGGAACTGGTCCGAACAAACCATGATTGGTAAATTGGTACTGTCCTATACACTGCGTACCAGTTCATCTATAGTTTTGGTGACTCATACATAAGTACAATAAGCAATCAGACATAGAAACAGATAAACAAGCATATTCTAGAGTATTTTTCAACCGACAATCATTGCAAAACATGTCATGACAATAAAACACGGGGTTTATCCTCCTTCGTTTTTCAAATAATCTCTACTTGACCACAACCCTACATTTTGNCCGGGGAAGTGTTGCCAATTCCATTACATTGCTTGATTTTATGCGACCAAACCTTCTGGACAAAATTTATTCAATTACCGTGGAGTTGATCTTTTGCTAATATTTTCGTTAATCCGTTTGCCTCACTATAATCGGGAATGGGTGTCTCGGGTTATGATTCGCCATCCTTCCTTTGAACTTGGCGAAATGCTTTTGATTACATATCAAACAAAAGTCCATGCACCGTGATTTATCGACATATATATGGAAATATGTACGTACCATGTGCAACCATGCTTCGCGTCGTTAAATAAAGCGAATAAATATAATACTAACATTTCGTGACACTTTTCTTCTTTTGCAATCGATGATTCTGGTATGTTTATATAAAAAATCTTTCTAACCCAATTCATCTTTCTCATCTATTATATTTCTACATTTTTTCTACAGGAGTTACTATTGGGACGTTTTCCAGAAACAGTCTTATGAATTATTAAGATCAAATAATTCATTTCTTCTTTATTATAGAAGAAAGAAATTGTTAAATAATACTAAGTCCGTCTGTTAATCAATATCTTACAAAGTATTTGTTGCTTTTAGCGTCAGCTCAAGGACAACTGGTTTCGTACTTTTGTACGAAAAAATGCACGAACAACACGCCTATCTGATGCTGGAGATAGATAAAGTGAGAGCACAGAAATTATTTTTCAGTTTCCGTAATTATCTGTTCCTAAAATATGTTGATGCTGAATATGAACTGTTTTTCTATTGTTCCAAAGGTAATTTAAATTAATCACACAATCATTTAGTGTGTAGCACAGGACGCCAGGAGTATTTTAGTTTCATACAAGTAAACAGGACAGCCTGCTCATCGATATAAATTCATGGCCGGGTAAAAATGTATTATTTTGTCGCAACTTACATATGAAACCGGACTAAACCGGCACACCATTACAACTTCTCAAGATGAACCCTGATTTTTACGCTTACATACTGCGTCTAAGTTGTACTACACGACAAATAATTCTGAAAATATATTTTCTTGCTAAAGCACATTGACTGTATAAGTTGTTCATTCCTCAAGAAAATATTCTCATAGATATTTTAACTTCAAAACGTCCATTCACTCGCTAAAGAGTGAACTGCCATATATATTCCCCTCCTCAGTGGATAGTAGGCTCTTTATGTCAGTCATGGCCTTCTAACACTGATTGCTTAAGCTCTTTCTCGTATTCCATCCGAAGTGAAATATATCCAAAGGTTGAGGTGACCAACCTTGAACGTTGGAAGTGAGGTTCCGTTGTCTTAGGCTAGTACTTTAGCAATGACAGTGAGAACCTGAAAGCAGATAGGTTCAAGGCGGAGAAGGCTTGAGATACAGTGCTTAATAATGATAACTGTGTCGGTGCGGTTTATTTCAGCTCATTTAAAGTACGATAGTAGTAAAAGTAAAACTCAACTTTGGCGTTACAAAGTTACCATTTTTAATAAGGAAGTTTCCCTAAAAGATCACTGTTGCCATTGTTTGGTGCTGTAATAAACTTTGATGGCATACTTGATTATGCCAACTGGATAGAAAGGTTTCTTATCTAGGAAGGTTCAAAATAGTTTGTTCCTAGTTCTTGTAATAACTACCTGCAATCAAAGGCTTAAGTTACAAACTTTTCTGGATAGTTTGAGTGCTAGTGTAGCGATGTTCGGTATGCGCTTCGCACCTTAAAAGTGTAAAATGCTGCTCC